CGCGCGGCCTCGGCTACGGACGGGCGACCGACGGAATTGTCGGGCCTCGTGCGTGCGCGGGACAATTGCAGAAACATTCGTGGATCGCAAGCAAATTGCAGAAACATTCGTCCACACTCGCTAGGTCTATAACGACTAACGAGCAGACGCAGTCTCTGCTTGTGCTTGCAAGAGGCAAGGCAAGGCAAACACGAGTGGTGAGGTCATGTGGCATGTGCCGGGGCGTCAACCACGGCGGCCGGCAGCGGTGACCGGTGAGCCGGTCGGCCGGTCCGGTGGCGTTGGGCTTGGGCGCGTGTCGCGTCAGTTTTTTCTTTTTTTAGCAACGGCGTGTTGCGTCAGGTGCCACGCGGCCATGCTGCACGCAGCACTGCATGAGCGGACCACGCGGCCTGGCTCGCTCTTGCTGCAGGGCTCGGCTTTAGCTAAGCCCAATAATAGACGCGCGGCTCGTTCTCTCGTGTTTGCGCGGCCCAACGAAAAATTGCTGTCACTGGTTTGGCTGGGCCGCCGATCCACCTGCTGTCTGGCGTGTCTGTAGGCTGCCCGCAGTTGAGGTTTTCTTTTTTCGCACGCGATTTCCATGAAAAAATTTTGGTGCAAACTGTATCCACCATACCTCCCTGCATATATACCATGGATAGTTGCCATGTGTCCAATCAACGCGATCCAATCACACGTCTAGAAGATTTCCTCGCATGTCTGCATGCGGCTTCGGTTGCCTCCCGTGCTCGCTGCTTTTCTGCCTCCACCATGCGTCATTGGATCATGTTGACTGGACATGTGGCAACCATCCATGGCATGTACGCAGGGAGGCACGATGGATAGAGTTTGCACCGAATTTTTTTCTGATTTCCGGCAGCGCGGGAAAAAATTCCATGCATCCAGGATGCACCGAGTAGTCATGCATACATGCACTTGATGGCTGCCGCGTGTACAAGTGAGCAGCGTAGCGTCGGAGCCCAACCGAGTATACATGCCGTAGCCGAGTGGGAGCCGAGCGGAAGCATGGGTGGACAGCGGATGAGGACAGACATCGATTCTCGTTAGGTGGACATGTGGCAGTCAATGGCAGCACGTATGTACGGAAGCTGAGTGCATACGGTATGCATGGAGTTTTTTTTCGAAAACGGAGGATCTCTCCGCTTGGAATCGCTATGGAGAGGATCTCACTAGCCAGTCAACTCATACCGGCCAATCTGATCATCCCACTACCGGCTAGTGATGAGCGGCTGAAGCAATACTCCACCCCAAGGCTACAAGTAGGAGGCAGATAAGACGCGACCGAGCACCCGTTCCGAGAGCGCGTGACTCTCCTCTTCCTCCTTCCTCGTGCTTTGTCTGTCCCAACCTCGCCTTCCTCCCCGCCACCCCACAGCTAGTGGCGGCCTCGTCGCTTGCCGCACCGCCCACCTCCCGCCCCTGCCCTCTTGACCTCGCCCTCCCTAAGGCCCTAACCTTCGTGCATTAGGTTCCGAAGATCCGTCCGAGCATTATGTGGGTCCTTGGAGTTTCTACTCGAATGGCTCGGTACCTGCATTATGACAAACAATAAACAGCCCCGACCTTTTCCGTATTTAATTCGATTTTCTCCTGGCATGCGCGCGAGATATCCTATCTCCGTGTCCGTGTCATCATAGTCATTTTCGCTTACTACAATTTTTATTCAGTACTTTACTTGCGTATCACACCCCTGTCCAAAACAAATCACAGCTAATGACACACTGCACCAAGCAAATCACAGCTAATGACAAATTGCACCGACCATTTTTTGCTCTCTCTCTCTCTCTCTCCAGGATTCGCCAACTGCAGTGACGTCCTCCTGGTGTACATCGGTGACGGCCCCACACCGACGAGGATGCTTTCAAAGTGCTCATCTCATCATCTGATGACGCTGCTCGATTGATCTTGACTATTTGTTAGTAGCTAATAATCTAGTAGTGTGGCATGGCAATATGGCATCAGGTGTTGAGGAAGAGGGGCCTAGGCATCGGGGTCCTTGTGTCCAAGTGCCTCAAGTAGACGAACGCCTCCTACTCCTAGCAGGACCCGGGCAAGGTGATGGACTTCTTTGCTCCGCCTGGTGGAATGGAAGCGGAAACCCTCGGCAGCCCTGATGATTGGTCCTCCGTCGTCCTTGTCCTTGCCCCCGCCCTTGCCCCTGCCCCCCGACCCCACCCTCCCTTAATCCCAGAGCAGGTCACTGCCGACCTCCACCGCGCCGCCTCCGCCCCGTCGACCCCGTCCTCCCCTAACCTCTGCCGTGACGCCTCCGCCGTCCTAGTCCTTGCCCCCGCCCCTCGACCCAGCCCTCCCCTAAACCCAGAGTAGGTCGACGATGATCTCCACCGTGATGCCCTCGCTGTCCACCCAGCCCAACCACCTTCTCCCGCTACCCTACCCCACCGTCGTCTCACCCACCTCCACCGCCGTGTCGCGTCCGCCACCCCCAAAATCTCCTTCTAAGCCCGCCGAGAACAGATCCCCTAACCCGCCGCCGCCGTCTTCTTCTTCGTCTCTGGTGGTGGGGGTGGACACAGTCGAAGCGGTGTCGCTTGGGAGCAGGGTCGCGTGGGCGCGGGCGCGTGGGTCGCGTAGTAGAATTTCCGCTACAAGTAGGAATACGAAGCAAGGAATCAAGGAGCTTTAATTTGCTTCTTGGATCACATATAGATGCAACAAACAAAGCAAAACATACCAAATCGTATTATTGAAGAAAAAAGAAAATCCCAACTACAGAAAACAGGAAAAGGAAACGAAAAGCAACATGGCGTCTATGTTGGCCTCGATGATCTCTCACGATCCTAGAGTGGATTGGGGGTGAACTCCTGTCTCCTGGCTTGGAATTGTAACACTGCTCAATGCTCACCATACCAGGTCGCCCGGCGGATGGGCTGATGCCGCCTCAACTGTCGTTCACGAGGTGCATCTGACGTGGTCGATGGATAAGGCGGGGACTGTGCTGTTCTATGTGCTTCCGGCCTTCAACGACTAGTTGGCGTTGAGAACTTCAATGGGCCTTACACTGTTGGGCCCTCCAATATAGTGGTGGCACGGAGAGCCCTTGGATGAACTTTTGAAACAAATGGTCCATTAGTGCACCTTGCATTGTGTATACTAGAAGAACACCCCGCGCGTTGCTGCGAAAACTACTGATTTGGAATGAAATTTTATTATTCATATAATTCTTAGAAAGAGATTAACTATTATAAACTAATGTTAGTAGATAGCGTGGCACGCTGATGTGGACAACTAAATGTATGTTAGTGGATGATATGTCTCGCTGACGTAGATATCATAATTGCTTATGCTAGGGGACTTTAATTGCAAGTGATAGTTGACCGATGAGGTGGACACCTTGCATGTCAATATAATATTCTAGTGGGGTTTAGAATTATAAGAGAGATAGATTATATGAGCAGTATTTATTAATTTTTACAAATATATACTCATATGCATAATATATTACATAAAACCGGAATGGTATGCTGGAACGGACCGGTATTGACACATTCCAATTCAGGAGGAAAACTAGAAGAGATACGTTTGGTTTGTGCCAAACTGCCAATGCATTCCCTTCAATTTGTTCTTCGATTTCACCTTGAGGCTTGAGCCACATCTTCATCCTCAATTCCGTTTCTTCTCCATCATCGGTATCCTCATGCAATTCACTACTATTGCCAACCCTGTTGAGCACCTGCACAAACAACATCAACTAGAAACCTGATATTGCATGTTCTAAATATTATAGTTAATAAAGAGATTTCTTAATTTACAAAACCTAGTCCATGCTATCTTATGTACAATACACGACTCCTACTAAATATTTTCAATTTAATTTTAATAAAAAATAAACTACATAAATATAATACGATAAATACAACTTATTAGCTAAAATAATCTCTATAAACCTATTGACCTCTAAACCTATGTGTAGATCCTAGGTCCAAATCTAATCCTAGGACTAATTCTTATCAAAATGGTAGGCCTAATTCGATCGGGTCTAATTAATACTCTAGCTATAGTCTAAATCTAACCACTAGATAACTAGAGTGTAATCCTAGGTATTCTTGCCGATAGATCAAATGTAAAATAAAGTTTGTGCAATGCATCTTAAACTAATCTCAATTTGAATAGCGCCCGGCTATTCCAACTCCCTCAACCCTCTCTCTTTCCTTTCCTTCCCTCCTCTTTATTTTCAAATTATTCTAGCATTTCTAGTGATTTTCTCTCTTTTTATAGGCACGCGACGGAAAAGAGACCGCCACACCAATAGATGACAAAGGCCTCTCTCTTTCAAATTTTATTAACGATGGTGGGTGCATAATAAGCCCATAAAAATTAAATTTATTTTTGTTAGGTTTAGGAATAAACCCGCTTGCGCCCCTAGCTATGAGTGTGGTGTGAATTTCTTAATGCCGATTCCACTAGCATTACCAAACAATGCGTTACGATTACACATCAAAATGCTTCGAATGTGGCCAAATAATACGAAATGTGTGCAACGGCCAACTTCAGAAAATATCACTCCAAACGGCTATATGTTTATTTATACTGCCTGCGGGTACAAATCTACTACCGCCGTTGTTTCAAGAGGCGGTATTTATAAATCGCATTTTTTAGCCTAGATTTGCAGATCTTTTCCGTCCGCAACTATTTATTCTAAGCAAAAAAATAGTAAAAAATAAACAAAATCAAATCCCGCAGTGGACGCCGGCCGCGCGAGGTGCAACGGTAACGGTTCCACACACGCCGCCCCGCTGGATCTTCGCCGCGGACGCTTCGCTTCGCCCGCAACTTCCGCATGCACGAGAAGTGAACGCGCGCCGGCACAGGCACAGCTCACCGCGCCACCACGTCAGGGACCTTCCTCTTCTGCGCCTCGCCGCGCCGCGCCGTGGGGACCAGCAGGGGACCACCGCGATATATACAGACCGATCGATCCGCCGAGAGGGTGAGGGATAGTGACAGCCGGGGAACGAAGGAGCGCGATCGACGGAATGGACGTGACGTTCGCGACGCCGGGGGGCCGGGAGTTCACCCTCGAGGTGTGGTACTTCGCGACGGTGCGGGAGATGAAGGAGGCGGTCCACGCGCGCGAGGGCATCCCCGTGGCGTCGCAGCGGCTCTTCCTCGCCGGGCGGGAGGAGGAGGAGAACGACCAGGAGCTCGACGACGCGCGCGACACCGCGCACTACGGCATCGTCCAGGGCTCCCGCGTCCTCCTCGTCCTCCCCGACGACGCGCCGCCCTCGCCCTCCCCGTCCCCCGCCCCCGCCGCCGCCGTCGTCGTCCGCATCGCCGTCTCGGCCCCCGACCCCGAGATCGGGCCGCGCAGCGTCGCGCTCGACGACGTCCCGGCCTCCGACACCGTGGCCCGCCTCAAGGAGCTCCTTCAGGACCGCACCGACGGCGCGCTGCCCGCCGCGAGGACGGCGCTCTTCCTTGGCAAGGCGGAGATGGAGGACGGCAAGACGCTGGCGGACTACGGCCCGCCGGCCGACGACATGGACGTGAGCGCCGTCGTGCGACCGCAGGCCCCCGTGGCGTCAGGCGGCGGAAACGGCGCCGGGGCCAGGAACCAGCAGAGGATCGAGGTGAGCGTCATGTTTGGCGAGACGGCGGTGGCGCTGGAGGTGGGCGCCATGGATGTGGTCCGGGACCTGCGCAAGGAGGTGGAGAGGCTGCGCCTCCCCGTGCGCGACGGCAGCGGCGGCGGATACTTCTTCGTGTACAAGCAGAATGTTATGGATGAGGACCGTACCCCTTCGGTGGCACGAGGTTAAGAACGGCGACACCATTGAGATCTTCAACGGCACCGTCACCGGCGGCGCCTGATCGCCCCCATCAGATCAGGGGTTTAACAAAGGGTTTATGCCTTTAGGGTTTGTCTCATCTCCAATCCTGCATTGCCATATTTCAGAGCTTCATCGTTTTAGGGTGGCATGTCCAACAGCGATCGAACAATGCTATGCTATAGTAGGAATTTTTCTTCTATATAAATTCAAATGGTACGGAATGAAAATGTAGGAATGTCCACAGTACCATGATTTAGTTAGATCCAATTCAAGAGATTTTGTAGATTAATTAATCAAGGGTTGGCAGAAGAACTTGAGAAGTTTCCAAGAATTAAAGATCCAAATCACGAAATTGCATTTCAATTATTTGTGAAAAGGATATCATTCGCTAGAACCCCTGATAAAAGAAAGCAATGACGCTTATGAATCACTCACCTATTCTTCCGAGTTATATGTATCCATGAGATTAATTTTCCTAACATCTAGTTTCCATAACCATCGTATTAGCAAGAAACTATCTTTGGGAACTCCTTATCACAATGCATGATTTCAATACGTAAGCCCTAATAATTGTATCTATCATTTCACTCACGTCTATGAATGTTGAGCAGCTGGCGATCTCAACCTCTGCATGACAGCTGGGTCCAACGGATCTCTAGAGTCCCACATTAGATCTGTGCGCATACGGGCAAGACTCCATTGTCTGATTCGCGATAACCGCTAGTGGCTATTTTCTAGCTAGCTACAACCACACTTTGCAACGGGCAAGGCACTTACGAGCACGGTGCTAGGGCATAGTCTTGTCCCCATCTTAGGCCCCACAAACGTGTGGGGCGAAGAAACGCCCTCTCGTCCACCCCCTCACAAAATCACCAATTTCTTCGTGTGATGGAAGTTGTGGATTTCGTTTCTTACATGATAACTGATATCTTTCTTTTTTTTCTTGTTAATTAACTCCCTTATCAAAGCATCTCCAATAGTTCTCCAAAATTAGTTGGTAAATCAATGAGTTTTAGAAGTGGCTAAAAAAGTTGGGAGTATATTTGATGGCTTTCTCTAACAGTTTCCAAAACCTCACTCCTAAAGTATACAAGACAATTTTGCATAAGAAATCTCAAACATTTCTAAATTACCCCAACCACTTTTATACTTTTTTATCTCTTGTACATTTGCATCAGGAACCTGTCTTACTCTTTGTTGTTGCCACATCCTTCCACCTCCAGATTGGCACGTCGACACTTGCGAGTATATTTCCACGCGATTGGGTCGATTTTCCCAAGTGCGGAAAGATTGGGAGTTGTAGAGCAAATTTTTTCAATCTTGTTAAAAACTCTAGATTGGGAATGAGTTTTGGGAACTCTTGGAGATGCTCTCACATAGAATGTTTGACAACAAGGAAGGTTGTTTAATTAATGCTGTGAAAATCATATGATCTGACTAGCTGGGTCTGCCCCAAGTATATGGCCATATCTTGTTCTGAATCATAAGGTTTAACAAGGGGTTTGTGGTGTTCGATCTGCAATCCTGCATTGGGATTTTAGAAGTTGTTTTGTCTCTTTAATAGATTTCCTCTGCTTTTTAGAAAGCCATAGAGTTTAAAGAGTAATGTTGAGGTCACTAGCTAACAAAGTTGCAAAAGTCAAGAACTGAACTCAACTAGGCAATTACACACAGATTAGATTTCCCCAACATCAGAAAGCCAACCTACCTTTCTCTTGCTAGTCAACTCCAAACACAAAGACCCACAAAAGTGAGGTCTTTGTGTATTTCTTGCAAGGACTACTCTGCTAGTTGTAAATGAATTTCTGAGATGATATAATTCTGTATTCACACATTGTCTTTTTTTATTTATTTTGAAGAGTTAGCTTAGATTATTAGTCTAGTCTCTCAGCTTGATTAAATTGTCCAATGCACTGTAGATCCATGCTTACTTTTCCTTGTCGTGATGATCAGAGATGACGCATTGTTTGATGATTACAAAAACAGTTCTCTGATGGATTGAATTTGTGTGTTTGGTCCTTCCAGAAGTAGACGTAGATTATTGGGAAATTTTGCTATTGGACATGCCAAATGACGCGTCTTTGCTGGCGGACACTGCGTTTTCCATCTTTTGCCGTGAGACACTCTGGTTTTTGGAAATACTGTCAGTGGGCACCGCAACCCAGTTGAACCCGGTTTTGGAGAGAGAAAACTTCGTTTTAGACATCGGGTGCCCCTGAACCAGACTTGGCGCCGTCCCAACCTGGTCTGGTTCAACCCAGTTGAACGACCGGCCCGCACCCGACTCCGTCGTTAGGGTTCCAGGCGCGCCATTTCCCTAATCCCGCTGCCGCCGCTCACTCCCAATCGCGCCGCCACCCACTCGTCTCCACTGCTCGTCGCGCCGCCGTCCACCCAGTGCCCGCCGCCGCTGATAGATCGAGCGTCGGCCGTCATCCGCCATGGGGGGTTGAGGATCTAGAGTTCCCCCGCGTCCCGAAGATGAAGTCCCCCAGCTCGAAGAACGGGCAGTGCCCTAGGTCTCTGCCTAGGGTTCTGCAATTCAAATGGCTAGTGAAAGGGTGAGTCTTTTGAATCCCTACTATTTGCAGATGAATGCTTGCGGATGTGGTAGAATGCTTGCGGTTTTGAAATCATTTAGTTTGGTTGTTATCCTTTGTGTTGATTTAGGATGGATCCGACTTCCACGTGTATACTGGCGATTAGCGTACCTGCATATGTAGAGCAAAGACTAGACGGGCTCGATGATTATCATGTAACTGCTAATTACATGCGTGTGGTAGACAAGGATAAATTCTCTTGGATGGGGTTTCTTGGGTGCCTTGGTGAGGAGATAGTCCATGGGGTCGACCAAGAATTGCAGGTCACCTTCTTTGACAAAACCAAGGATGAGACAGTGCGCATAGATTCTGATTCTGCTCTGTTACATGCATTTGATGTGTATTGGAGTAAGAAGGTGCCACTGACTGTACATGTTGTTGACCTTTGGTCCTCGTTTGCTAAAGTCTAAGTGTTGTAATGCCAATGCCTCTCAATCTTCTCAGTCTGTTATTATCACTTAGGAGAGTCAGTTAATTGTCACCAATAGCTATGATACTGCCTAATCTAGTAGTGATGACAATGGTGAAGCTGTTGATCTTAATGATGATGGTAATTGTGAGGCTGATGCTAATGGTGATGAGGGTCTTAATCTTGATAATGATGGTGAAGATGATGATGCTATTGCTGAAGAAGAAGAAGAAGATATTGCTGAAGAAGAAGAAGAAGATATTCTTTGAAGATGGTGGGGAGAGGTGATGAAGTGGAGTATGTAGGAGTAGATGATGAGAATGAGAAGTACAAGGATGGGGTCAATGATGATGGTGATGCTGACCCTGCTTACTATCCTGACAGTGACCCAGAAGATGATGACCCATTAGTTGTGGGACGATGGGAGGGACTGTGACGGTGTTGTTCATGTCACTGACATAGATAACCCTAAGATAGGTCTTGGTGTTACTTTTGAAGATGGTTTCGCTTTAAGAGATGTATTAGACAATATGATGTGCTTAATGAAGTTGAACTTGTAGTTCCATATAGTGCGTCCACAATGATACTGAGCATATTGTAAGGCCAAGAGATGTCAGTGGAGGATTCATGCATCCCAGTTACCTGATGGCAAGACATGGCAGGTATGTGAGCTTTGTAATGCTTCATTTAGTTTAATTTAGTTATCAATTGTTGTGTGCTAACCGTTGGTTGATGGCTGCAGATTAAGAAGCTACCACACAAGCATAATTGTGCCAGCACAAGCAAATTCCAGAACAACTGTATGGCTAACAATCACTAGGTGAAGGACATAGTTATAAACTGACTTAGGGAAGATCCAACTATTGGGGCTAAAGATTTGAAGCAGAAGTTGGAGGAGAATTTTTGTGTACAGCTGAGCTACTACGTGGTTTGGGACGGCAAGCAAATGGCCTTAGATGAGATCATGGGTGGCTGGGAAGATGTTCATGCCCTAGCAGAAGTTGGAGAGAGTGCACCTGTAGAGGTTGGCAGTTAACTGGTCTGCCATGTGTTCATGCCCTAGCTTTCATTGGCACCAGAAGGGTAGACTTAGAGGACTATATTGACCACTACTATTCTGTAGACATGTTCAAAGCAGCCTATGCAACTCCAGTGCCTCCAATGCCAAGCAAGGATGAATGGGAAAAGCTGAACCTTGGCTTCAACCTCCTTCCTCCTAAATGCAACAGAGCAGCAGGAAGGCCAAGGAAGAGAAGGATAGTTGGAGTTGAAGAAGGTGGGTCCAGCAGCAAGGGCAGGAGAAGGTGTAAAAGGTGTGGTGGATTTGGACACCTGTAGAAAACCTACAATGAAACTGTTGCAGACCCTGATGCACCACCACCTGCACCTCCAAAGAAGAAGAGGACTTATAAGCCAAAGGTTGTTGAGATCATAGAAACAACAGAAGAGCCAGCCAAGAAGAAGAGAAAGGCCTCCACTAAGGAGAAACAAACCAGCAAGAAGAAGAAGACAACTCCAACTGAGCCTACACCTCCTGAGCAATCAGTGCAGTAAGTGATCCATTTCTTGCCAACACTGTTCTTAATCTAAACCAAGTGTAGTTGATAACATGGTCACATCTGCCATCTTACAGGGTTCCAAGATCCCCAGTCACTAGGAGGCAGGCCAAACAGCAAGCTGGAGGTAGCCTAGGGGCACAGACTAGGAGTCAGAGCCCAAGCGCCTGCACTAGGAGCAAGAGGGGAGGGGCCTGATGCCTGCACTGGGAACATCAAGACAGAAGCAACCTTTTGAGCCACCTGTGCTTTTGGTGTGCTTTTGTGTGGTTCTATGAACTTGCTATTGTAATCTGTGTGCATTTGAGCCTGGATATTATTGGTGTGAACCTGGTATTGTAATCTGGTAATGTAGTGAACCAGGCTATTGTTGGTGTGAACTTGATATTGCCATCTGGTATGATGTTCCATAATTAATGATCTGGTATGCCTGTGTTTGTCATGCTAAAATTAAGTCAGCTGTTAAGTTGAAGGTAGTGATGCTGCAATTTTAACTTTACAACTAAAAAAGGGAACAAATCAAGTTGAAGTTACTCCATTCAAACTGCATTTCATTCATATTTCACAAACATTACAAAGCATACTTCATGCTTGCTTGTACAATACCATGCACAAAGCAAGAAAGCAAACAACACCTACAAACACACTGGCCCCAACCATCATCCTAACAACTATTTGCTCTCCAGCTATTCTAGCCACAACAGTGCTCTGAGCAACTACAACATTGTTCAAGTTCAACAGAGAATTCTCCAGAGCCTTCAACGCAGCCATCACTGCTGCACCATCCATGCCATCTCCAGCGCTCTCTGGCTTCCACATGAAGAAGTTGCAGGTACCGTTGCCCTATTTCACAGCGAAAGCCAAATCAATAGGATGAACCCTACATCCGATTTCAAAACGCCCAAATGTAGCAAGAACAAAATCAAGAAAACTCACCCAGTCACGATTCCTGCAAGTGTAGAACGGCTTGTCTGGATTTTTTGTGGTTCTCGACGTCCGCTCCACGACCGTCGCCGTGTGGCAGAAAGGGCACAGCGCCTGCCCCTCTCTCGCTCCACGTGACCCAGTCGACGAAGAAGCGCCAGATCCTGTAGCCATCTTCTATAGGCCCGCTCTCCTGTCGACGACGCCCGCCAACCTACGCCGCGCCGGCACCCCCACCCGACCGGCCGCCGCAGCCTATGCCGCCGCCGCCTCTGCGGTGAAGAGGGGGAACGAGGAACAGACCTGAGTAACGACGGAGTCGGGTGCGGGCCGGTCGTTCAACTGGGTCGAACCAGACCAGGTTGGGACGACGCCAAGTCTGGTTCAGGGGCACCCGATGTCCAAAACGAAGTTTTCTCTTTCCAAAACCGGGTGTAACTGGGTTGCGGTGCCCACTGGCAGTATTTCCAAAAACCAGAGTATCTCACGGCAAAAGATGGAAAACGCAGTGTCCGCCAGTAAAGACGCGTCATTTGGCATGTCCAATAGCAAAATTTCCCATTATTATTCTATCCCAAGGAATAATATCCAGCAACTACACCACTTATTAACAACGATGACACAAGGTCCGTGCCTAGTACGGCCACAGTTTAATCTGAAGGCATTAGGGAGGGTTTCAAACAGCCCCCTCAGTCTCTTGACAAGCAGCAGGCAGAGAGACGGGTGGAGTAGCGCATCGAACTGTCTTGGTGCTTTTTTCGGTTAAAACATGGTAATTTTGCTGTCGGCGTAAAAAAGTTAACCATGAGACATGCTCCAAAAAGATACTTGACAAGTCTATGCGAGCTTGATAACGTCCTGCATAAGGATCATGTCCAGAGTTTTTTTTTCTTTTTATTTGGTCTTATATATGACTAGCTGCATTATAATTTACACTAAAATACTCTTAACTATAATTCCTATATTAGTAGATTGGATAAGGGCTCCAGTTTTTCATTTTAGTTCATGAGCTCTTATTCAAACTACAGAGTCTATGATATGTCATATGTCTTTTTCAGCAAAAGAACAAGGAAATGTTTCCTTCTATATGTAATAGAGGATTGTGCAACTCAAAAGCTTTAAGAAATTGTCTTCACTACTTCAGTTTGCCGAAATTGTCTTCATAAAAGGTTCCTAAAGTAAGAAGAGATAAACAATGTATGTCAGAAATAGATTGTTTGGTTATAAATATAAGAAAAATCGTAGCCTTTGCTACCACTATATTCTAATTCTAATACTGCTGTATTTTCAAATTTTCATTGCATAAATATAATATCTATAGGATGTGCGCAGAAGTCATGTATGCTGCTATCAAAGCAAAATGGTTGTTTAGTGTACGGTGGGCTAACATATTATAATGTAATAGGAAGATCATAGCTGTACACTTGGTATTTTTCAGGTAAAGAGATCTTATATTTACCTCAATGATACCCTTTGCTTCATTGGTGCTGCTTATTTGATTTGTCAAGGTGATATATGGACCAGAAGAGTTCTGATTCGTTATCAGTTAAGTATAAGTTTTTTTTTAAAAAAAACCCTCCATAGTAGAGTATTTTGGAGAAATTGTGCACTCTTGTTCGAGCACTCATCTTGATCCCAAATGCTGAAAGTTTAAAGTTCATAGAAGGCTTTAATAAATGTTAGTTTTGAAAATAAACTATTTTCCCCCCTCTGACATCGAGTTTGTTCCATATCCATGTACTGTATCCCACAGAATGCTAAACATGCTCTAAATTTGTAGCCTTGCAAAATGGAGCAACACATTTTCAAATTATGCAGTGCTGTGTCAGAATCGAATTGGTGGCCCAATAGTACTACTAAAGTACGAATCAGCAAAAATTACAACGTGTGTAGGAGAGATTGATCAGGAAGCCACTGGAGCTGGCAAACATTTCTGCAGGACCATGACAGAGGTTCTAAGGATGACTTCCGGTGTCTAACATATCTGAATATTTTTTTATCTAAAGTGTACTATTTATCAGTTGAAAAAGAGTGCAAGGTTCTAAGAATTTCTTACCTAAGTAAAGGTGTACCTTTCCTAGGGATTGATCAGTTGAAACAGAGTAGTTACCAAAGATTACGACTCTTGAAAGTTACTCTTTTGCAGTATACAGAACTGAGAAGATGGAACCCGAAATCAAACGGGGGATCTAAACCTGTTTAGATGTGAGGTCGTTGTGTATTTTCTTGCAAGGATTACTCTGCTAGTTGTACATGTATTTCGAGAGGATATAATTCTGTATGCACACATTGTCTTTTTTTTTTTGAAGAGAGCTTAGATTATTAGTCTAGACTCTCCGCTTAATTAAATTGTCCAATGTATTGTAGATCCATGCTTAATTTTCCTTGTCCTGTTGATCAAGATGTCGCGTTGTTTGATACAAAAACAGTTCTCTGATGGATTGAATTTGTGTGTTTGGTCCTTCCAGAAGTAGATGTAGACTATTCTATCTCAAGGAAAGGCATTAGGGAGAGTTTCAGACAGCCCTCTCTGTCTCTTGACAAGGAGCAGGCAGAGAGACGAGTGGACTGTGGAGTACAGCTTTCTTGGTGCTTTTCGGTTAAAACATGTTCATTTTCTTGGTACTTTTCGGTTAAGAAATGTTGATATCGCTGTCGGCGTAAACAAGTTAGCTATGAGACATGCTCCAAAAGGATAATTGACAAGTCTATGCGATTTTGAGAATGTCCTGCATAAGCATCATGTCCAGAGTTCTTTTTTTTTGGTCTTATATATGACTAGCTGCATTACAATGTACACTAAAATTACTATAATTCCTGTATTAGTAGATTGGATAAAGGCTCCAGTTTTTCATAGCAGTTCTAGATCTATAGAGTCAATCATATGTCATATGTCTTTTTCAGCAAAAGAACAAGGAAATGTTTCCTTCTATATGTAATAGAGGATTGTAACTCAAAAGCTTTAAGAAATTGTCATCATTACTTCAGTTTGAGAAATTGTCTTCATAAAAGGTTCCTAAAGTAAGAGGAGATAAACAATGGGTGTCAGAAATAGATTGTTTGGTTACAAATATAAGAAGAATCGTAGCCTTTGCTACAACTATATTCTAATTCTAATGCATTTTCAATTTTCCATTGCATAAACATTATATCTATAGGATGTGCGCAGAAGTCATGTATGCTGCTATCAAAGCAAAATGGTAGTTTAGGTAAACACTCGGTCTTTTTCAGTAAACGAGATCTTATATTTACCTCAATAATAATACCCTTTGCTTCATTGGTGCTGCTTCTTTGATTTGTCAAGGTGATATGGAGCAGAAGAGGTCAGATTTATCTGTTAAGTATAAGTTTTTTTTTTTTAAAAAGAACTCTGTAGTAGATTATTTTGGAGAAATAGTGCACTCTTGTTCGAGCACTCATCTTGATCCCAAATGCTGAAAGTTTAAAATTCATAGAAGGCTTTAAAAATGTTAGTTTTGAAAATAAACTCTTTTTTTTTCTCTGACATACCAAGTTTGTTCGATATCCATGTATTGTATCCCACAGAATGCTAAACATGATCTAAATTTGTAGCCTTGCAAAATGGAGCAACACGTTTTCAAATTATGCATTGCTGTGTCAGAATCGAATTGGTGGACCAATAGTGCTGTCAAAATCGAATTGGTGGCATAGTACTACACATATATACAGTGCTCAGCAAAAATTGCAGCCGATTAACAGGCACTCCACAGATTGATCAGGAAGCCACTGGAGCTGGCAAACATTTTTGCAGGACCATGACAGAGGTTTGTAAGGATGACATCCGGTGTCTAATATATCTGAATATTTCTCATCTAATAAAGTATACTATTATTATCAATTGAAACAAAGTGCAAGGTTCTAAGAATTTCTTCCCTAAGTAAAGGTGTACCTTTCCAGGGATTGATCAGTTGAAACAGAGTAGTCACCAAAGATTATTACTCTTGAAAGTTACTCTTTGCAGCATCAACCACCCAACTAAATGCAAGTACACAGAACTTTGTTTTTGAATTAAACGGGAGATCTAAACCTGGGGATCTAAACCTTTTTAGATGTGAACACCGGTGGTTTTTGACGATCACTCGAGCAGCACAAAACACACCGGTTGTTTATATCACTCAACCAGCACAAATGAAATCTTGAAAACCAGAGCAACCAGCATGACCAATTGAAAAATGACCCAAAGTTCAACTGCATCTTAGTCTGTGGAAGCAGAACTTCCTCTGAACCAACTAACAGAAACCAAGAACCATCAAAACACAAGCAGAATTGTAGTAGCAACGCAATAGAAGATTAGAGTTTCCACTTCAAAAACATTAGCTAACACACATATAACCAGAAACCAAGGTTCAATTATTTCATTGCACAGTTCCAACCAAACTGCTGCGCAGCAGCAGAAATGTTCACAAACACAACCAGACTGACATAGGACTCAAATTTCTTGAAAAAAAACATAGGGACTCAACGACGACTCGATCAGGACACGACCACGACATGCAGATAATCTCCATCGGAGGGACAGAAGAAGGCACCAGACTTGTGAACCCTGGAAGGACAGCTGCTCATGGTCCAGGACTTACTGGCCACCACGGAGACGGAGCACCAGGTGGAGAGTGGACTCCTTCTGGATGTTGTAGTCTGCCAGGGTGCGGCCATCCTCCAGCTGCTTGCCGGCAAAGATGAGACGCTGCTGGTCCGGGGGGATGCCCTCCTTGTCCTGGATCTTCGCCTTCACATTGTCGATGGTGTCAGAGGACTCCACCTCCAGAGTGATGGTCTTGCCAGTGAGGGTCTTGACGAAGATCTGCATACCACCGCGAAGGCGGAGCACCAGGTGAAGGGTGGACTCCTTCTGGATGTTGTAGTCTGCCAGGGTGCGGCCATCCTCAAGCTGCTTGCCAGCGAAGATGACGCAGCTGCTGGTCCGGGGATGCCCTCCTTATCCTGGATCTTCGCCTTCACATTGTCGATGGTGTCAGAGGACTCCACCTCCAGGGTGATGGTCTTGCCAGTGAGGGTCTTGACGAAGATCTGCATACCACCACGAAGGCGGAGCACCAGGTGAAGGGTGGACTCCTTCTGGATGTTGTAGTCAGCAAGGGTGCGGCCATCCTCAAGCTGCTTGCCGGCAAAGATGAGACGCTGCTGGTCCGGGGGTATGCCCTCCTTGTCCTGGATCTTCGCCTTCACATTGTCAATGGTGTCCGAGGACTCCACCTCCAAGGTGATGGTCTTGCCAGTGAGGGTCTTGACGAAGATCTGCATGCCACCCCTCAGCCTGAGTACAAGGTGGAGAGTCGACTCCTTCTGGATGTTGTAGTCAGCGAGGGTGCGGCCATCCTCAAGCTGCTTGCCAGCGAAGATGAGACGCTGCTGGTCAGGGGGGATTCCCTCCTTGTCCTGGATCTTGGCCTTCACGTTGTCGATCGTGTCAGAAGACTCGACCTCAAGCGTGATAGTCTTGCCAGTGAGGGTCTTGACGAAGATCTGCATGCCTCCCCTGAGCCTGAGCACCAGGTGGAGGGTGGACTCCTTCTGGATGTTGTAGTCAGCTAGGGTACGGCCATCCTCGAGCTGCTTGCCAGCAAAGATCAGCCTCTGCTGATCCGGAGGAATGCCTTCCTTGTCCTGGATCTTAGCCTTGACATTGTCAATAGTGTCTGAGGACTCAACCTCAAGGGTGATGGTCTTGCCAGTGAGGGTCTTAACGAAGATCTGCATCTGCAAGCATTGAGGACCAGAAGAGTAAGCGCGACCATAAGTTACTATGAATCTAACAAAAACTGATCAACTGTTGAAAAGAAAAGAATTCAAAAACTGATCAACTGTTGAACAGAAAAGAATTGAAACATGAAACAAAGTTATAGGATCAGCTGGTCAGCATCCTAATTCGAGGGATAGGCAACTATGAAGCAGATCTTTCTAACAAGTACCAGAACTATATAGCATTTAAAACAAGAGAACCATTACCAAAAAAAAAACATGATATATGGTCTAATCAGAATAGAACAATTTAGCAAAACAAGCAGGGACCAGTTCAATCTGCATGGGTTAAGGAAGTGACTAAAAATTGTGCCATGGTATGTACTTGATATATGATTAAACGATCAACTAATTAATTCCAGTGATATATGATTATCATCAGGCATGAGCAGAAGGCACATACAGCATTAAGCATACGAACCTGATTCTTACTAACAAGTAGCTATAGTATTTCACATTAGAGAACCACGCAAATCATACATGGATCAGTAAAATTTGCATTTGTTAAGGAACTAAGCAATTGTGCCGTGGTATGTACATGAAACATGATTCAACAATCAACTAATTAATTCCACAGTGATCTATGATTATCATCAGGCATGAGCAGAAGTCACGTATGGCATGTAATAAGGGTAATAAGTTACCAATATAATATAATCTACTAAAAAGATTAAACAGCAATCTAAGCAGTGTCCCTTTTACAGCCTAGATGAGTGGAACAAACAATATAAACTAAATCGCATAATTGCAACATGAGTACAGGACCAAACAATTAGACGCAAGTCCCTACACCTGTAGCTGATACATGACTCCGCAATCAACTAGTTAGTTCCACAGCCATCTATGATTATCATCAAGCATATGAGCAGTAGGCGCATCTGGCACATAAGCTTCTACAGATCTAAAAAGTCCAAACCAAATCACATAATCTTAACGAGATCTGGCAATCAAACGCAAGTCCTGCCGCGGGATCACGCGCAACGGCGCATGTAACATCATCCCAGCCCAACCCTAGAGCGGCAAACGAACCAACCGGTCCAACCATCATATCTACTCGAGCCAACCCGCAGAATCACGCGAGCACGATCACACCAAATACCTTCATCACAGCCCGCAGATCTACACCACGACCCGCAAATCGACTACAGATCGAAGGACGCGAGCAGGCCGTCGCCTCACACGATCTAATCAAACACTACGACGAACACGAACAGGGAAAGCATACCTAATCAAACGCTACAACGAACACAAACAGGGAAAGCATACGAGGGGGGTCGAGAGGGGAATCGGAAACTCGCAGTACCTTGAGAGGATCGGGAGGATTCGCTTCGCTTCGATGAATTTCTCCGACGATGGGATTGGGGACTGGGATTTGGATGGATGAGGCAGGGAGGGGATGACGCCAATTTATACACGGGGGAGGAGGGAGAAAGAGTCCCGTGAGGCTACATACGGCTCCGAGCGGTGTGGGGCCCAGCGGCGAGAGGCGGTTGCGTCGCGGTCTCGTGGAATCCGTCCCCACCGCGCAATTCCGCGGAAAAAGCCAGAGCCGCCGCGGAGATATCGAGGAGGAGGACGCCGTTTGCTTCCCGCGGTTGGTGGCCGTTAAGGATTACAAAAGGTCTCTAGATCAGGTTAACACCGTTACTATACCGTTTGCTTCAATCATGCCCATGCATTGGCTTGAATTTTTTTCCCGTAGAACATTTCAAAGTATATATATATATATATATATATATATATATATATATATATATATATATATATATATATATATATATATATATATATATATATATATATATATATATATATATATATACTAGAACGCGGAGCGAATCCCTAGATGGGCACCGGGTCCATGGGTCACCACTGTTCATGTTAATTTGAATAAGATATAGGCATAGGTCATCTCGGTATTACATTTATGTCTCGCATGTCGAGAATTAGCGCCGTTAAGAATGGTGTGGAACTCCACGCTTTTCGGTCTTTGAATTGAAATCGAGTTTATCGTTGCTCATGCCCCCACTACATTTTTGGTCTCTGAATTGAAATCAAGTCTATTGTTGCCCATGCCTTCTCTACGCGCTCGCTAATCCAATCGAACCATAAGCGTCTTACATGTCGAGAATCAGCACCCCACGGAATGGTGTGGAACCCCACGCTTTGCGGTCTTCAAATTGAAATCGAGTCTATCGTTGCCCATTCCCCTTCTACACGCTCGCTAATCCAACCGAACCATAAGCGTCCCGCATGTCGAGAATTAGCACTGCGTCCTGTTCGCTTGGCTTATAAGCCGTACTTTTTCAGCTAACGAACTATGACAGAACCTCCTAAATTATAAGGCCCGCATGCACCTGTCACTGTCCAACGACCTTTGACATCTATGCATATGTTCCCGGTAACTTAAGAAGACTGTCGGGTGTCCTCGGGAACCCCGAATCATCCACGATTTCCGAGCAGGATCACATTACAGAGTCATTGCAGTATTACAACATTTATTCAAATATCTACACCAGAGTAAATCAGCGGAAGTCTTACATTAACTTAGTTTACAAACCATTTGTTTCAAACCATACAACTAAGTTCGATAAATATTATAAGACGTAGTAGTGGAGTGGTATTATAACATATTACAGAACACACAAATAAGCTGCCCTGCCCAAGGGCTACACATTTAATTATCGTCATCGCATTGAACAACAGTCATGCAGCACAATCCAAAACAGATCTGCTCATGAGGCACACCTGTAACAAGGGTCAATGAACCCTGAGTACAAAAGTACTCAACAAGACTTAACCAAAAATAAAAAAAAACTGATAGAACTCAGGAATACAGGCTCAGGGATTCGAGGTATGGTTTTAGCGATAATCAAAGTTCTTTTACGTAAAAGCTCTTTTAACAAAATTCTTTATGTCAACATTTAAAACTTCATAAAGATCATATACAAAGCTGACACGATCCGTATTAAGATCATGAAACTTCATATCCAACACCTTCACAAACCATCCTCAAGTTCCAGTTATTTAACTACGATGATGAACAGAGAAGTGAGTCTCCATAACCGAGGAGCAACGACGATTCGAACCGATTAAAACCCAGCTGGGAATTCTAGACCACACGACATATGCAGGTCCCCGACTTACATATATCAATCTACCCTCACATCCTCTAAAATAAGAACGGGTCCGCGCCACCCGAGAATACAGTACTCCACCAATCCAGCCCATTGCCACGTGGGTACACGTTATTCCCGCCATCTCTCCACTCCCAGTGCGCGAGTAGCCATTCTCGTGATAGAATAGCCAAGTTAAGGCTTACCGGTGTATGTGGTTAGTACTACAAAGTCTCACCTCATGCGGTTCAACAACGGTACGGGCCTTAATCGACACAGGCGAAAATAACCCGCTCACAAGACCTTCATGTCTTGTGGCTCCCTTACACCGAGTTCGTCCGGTCTAGATTTATTACTCCACATGCCCATATCACATGATAACATAAATAACCAAAGTTCCATCTAAAACTTGCAGATGACAGGTAATCACCCGACTTTCATCGTTCTAAGCATAGCTAAGCAAAACTAGGCATATACGAATTAAAACTGGTAACAAGATAGATATGAAAAAACGAGGTTGGTAATGCACCAATAGGTTTTCACTTAACTCCTAATCACTTAATGCAGTACTTGGAAGCAAAAACGATATAAATTTGTAAAACACAAGGTAGGTTTAAATGCATCCGGGGCTTGTCTTCGTTGACGGAAAAGTCTGGTTCCAGAGTCGTTCCACTGATATCAAATCCAACCTCCACAGGCGGATCAACCTCCTCAACTACTTGATTAACTACCACGTGCTCACCTTCGTTCACTACACGTAGTACAATGCCATGTTTAACATGATGCGAGATATGAGACATGATGCTTGACGATGGATGTAAAAGTAATAACTTGAATACAACTTTTCTTCGCGGTACAGTTACAAGTAATTATCATAAAGCATTTTTAGTCGTTCTTCTAACAAGTCAAAGGTTCACTTATCATACAGGCTTACCAACTAAAGCTTCATCATGAAAAGACATGTATAAACAATATACAAGGAAATGTATAACTTTTACTTTTTACCCAAGAAGTTGCATCTAAGAAGCAATCAAGTTTATTAACATGCATTTACTAATGAAATTCTTAACTAAGTCATTTAGAATTATTAACTAAAGGACGAACATAAGCATATCAAGAAGGTAATCACTTGGCCATGACACAGCAGGGGTGGGGTGTTTCATGATCTATAATCAACTCCAAAAACCATTCAGGACATCTCATGATTTATGTTTATCATCTCGACAATTATTAACTAATAACTAAGGCATATAAATAAGAGTATAATTAAACATCATCAAATTAATCCCAAACTTTTTGTGGAGGCAGGCTTTAACAATAAACAGATACAATAAAAGTTTTATGATCACTGGATATTTATTTTGGCCTATAAAAATCACACAACAAGCATTTCTTAATTAAAAGGACTAATTTTTAAGCATCCAAAAACTATTGATTTTCATGGTTTCATATTTTTCCTACATAGAGGACATCATGAAGAGGCTACACATAAATTTTCATAATTTTTAGAGCTCTATTTAATTCTACACAAAAATAACAAATCACAGCACTATTTAAAATAATTACTGACTTTTCATTTAACACCCACAACAGTTCCATCGTCTTCTTCCCCGAGCCGAGCGGCGCAAGGAAACACGGCAGCGACGTTGCCGGCCGATCAAGGCAGTAGAGATGGCGCAAGATCATCGCCAAACTCGGCCGCACCGATAGGTGGACTTGGCGTGGCTTGAAGTGGCCCTGGACAGGCTGACCAGGGCAGCAGACGCCGGACATGGCCGACCGTGGCGGCGTGAAGACGGAGCGGCCACAACGGTCCGAAATTGATCAAACTAGAGATAGGTTAGGCACGAAGAAGCTCACCACGACCTAAAAGGCCAACTGAATGAAGCCAAGACGTGCTGGAGCTCCCTGCCGACGACGGCGGCGTTCATGGCGGCCCGCTCCGACGTCGCGACGGCGAACAAGGCAATTCCGGCTGGTAGCAGTAGCATACATGGGTGAGGGAGCAGCGCAAGGAGCAAGCAAAGCTCTGGGGAAAAAGAATTGGCTGGAGACCACTTGGTTGAGACGAATTCAGCCGGCGAACGAATGGCGCGGTGGCGGCGCTGAGAGGAAGAAGAGAAGAAAGCAGGAGCAACGTCGGCCTGCTCTGTGCCTTAAGTAAAGAAGAAGAAGCATCCAACTTGGCCAGGGGTAGCTTGGCTGGCCAATGAGCTGCCTGCACGGCTTAGCTCGAGAAGATGCCGAGAGGACACGGCGACGGTGATGAACAGAGAGGGAAGAAGAGAAGGAGCTCATGGTATGTTACTGTAGCAAAGAGCAGATTTTATTTTTCTCAAATTACTCCCAAACTGTTCAGCATCTCATTTTGCTCCTTAAAGCAAACTTGTCCACCATGATGAGCTCTTCAACTTTGCTTTAAGGATCAACCTCAAATTCTTTATGGTTTAAAAATTATAGAATTCCGACGAAATGTATATATTGAAAATTGAATTTATAGAATTTCCAAAAACAGTTATTTAGTCATTTTTGGTGGTTAAATATAACTCAACTTCATTCAACCAATATCACTATATCATAAAACAAGGTTCACACCAAGCATTGCAACAAAAATTATTAAACCTTTATTTGAAAAAAATTGATTTATTAATTCCCCAGAAATTGGACTTTAAATCAAATCTTTTAGATATAAACATGAAATGCATTCATGAGTTGATGCATGATGATTATGCATAATGATGACATGATCACCTTCTTAATTACTTTTTAACATCTGGGATGTTACACGAACAGTATTTTTCTCTCACACCAAATCAGCCACAGTACTTTCAGTCATGGCTTATCAAAAAACGAACATGGCACGACAGTGGCCGTGGTGCGCTGATCGATGCGCGCATGCGGACAGACAACGAATCGGTGATGCAGCCAGCGGCCGTGCGCAGCGCCCCACAGTGGTTGCGTGGGCTGCTATCGGAGGAGTTCTTCGACG